CCTAGTATCTCCTAAGGGTCTAGTATCTCTAGATATCCTGTCTTAGCGAGATACTATGTTACGTGATCTTCGCCCCGNGTTGATTATTACCTTCTAACGTGGACGTCCCTAGGCCTTCAGCCATCTCGTCATTTGTCAAGGAGAGAATCCTTCTTGTTACTCGTAACAAGACGGCCATAGTAGCCATGCTACACTAGAGTTTAATTAGTACTGCACAGAGAACAAGATTATCACCCTCTACATGCCAGCCCATACCTCCCACCTCCTCTAGCCACTTAATATAGGCTGCTTCTCCCCCCTCAAGCGAGCGTACGGTCACGAGATCCAGGAGCTCGCTCGCCAAGGCGTCTACCATATTAACAAGATAGACTTCCTTACGATCTATATACGGATCTGGCCGACGGTATTCACGCAGTAGAATATTTAGGTAGATTTCTAGGCGATAGGGCTTATCCCTCCTTATCCTAATCGTGTCTTATCGTTGCTTATAGTCGTCTGTACGCCGTCTCTACTAGAGATAATAGTAGATAATAACGTCGCATGGATAGCAGAGATACCGCGTACTATAGCTTAGCTTTAGCAGTAGGCTTAGTATATATAGGACCTGCTTCGTCGCTAATCACAGAGCCTAATAAGCTAGGCTATCCGCTAGCTTATTAAAGGTTATTAGCTTACTATAAACTTAGCGACTATACTCGTAGAGGAGAATAGAAAGCTTCGTACGGCTAATTAGCGCTAGCAACGTAGAAGAGACTAGCGGCATTAATATATAGCTTATAAAGAAGTGCTATAGGCTTAGCAAGGCCAACAGCTCGCTGTAGAGGTAGAAAGGGTGGTCGTGGAGGTAGAACAAGCTTAGGCTACTCAGGGACGTCAGCGCGCACCACCAACGTGTTCAAAGTGCCATATTTAAGGACACACGCGAACTTAATGTAGACAGTAATAGACTAGCTATCTATAAAATTCTATAACATTATCTTATGTTGTTGTGGAGCTATCGTGCGGAGTGTCGAGTAAGGTTTGGTAGGGTGGCCGGATGACTGGTGTGGCCGGATGACCGGTGGAACACGTTATATCAGTCGCTGACGAAGAGCCAAACTCTTAGGCAACCCAGACTGAAAAACGTGTACAATCCAGTCATAGGGTAGAGTCATGTTCTGAAAGTACGGATTTGTAATGCATCTCGCGCTTGGACCGGAATCTAATACCGAACAGCGAAGATAACTTAAGCATACGGACAAAATCACTGGTGCAACGTCCAAAGTCGCACGTACATACATATAACTGAAAACCCGAGCTTCCGAAAATGCCATTCTATACACGTCCGAAAATGCTCGCATTCGACCCCATCCCGCAAACAAGCCAGGCGCGTCTTGACGCATCGCTCCCGGACGCGCCACTCGACATAGCAACGCTGCTAGCCCACCCGCCAACACCAACGTCCGAAAAGCCCAAAACAGTCCTCTACCTAGCCTACGGCTCCAACCTCTGCAACGAAACCTTCCGCGGCGCACGCGGTATCCGGCCCCTCTCACAAGTCAACGTTGTAGTCCCCTCGCTCCGCCTAACCTTCGACCTACCCGGAGTCCCCTACAAAGAGCCGTGCTTCGCAAACACCGCGCGGCGCATACCCTCCGCACAGGAACACCACAAAGATGCGTGGCACAAGGGGCTCGTCGGTGTGGTATACGAAGTCACGCTGTCAGACTATGCGCACATAATCGCTACAGAAGGTGGCGGGAGCGCCTACGCGGATATACTAGTTGATTGCCATGTTTTGGATAAAGGGAAGGATACGGTGCCCACAACGCCGACGTCGAAGCCGTTTAAAGCGCACACGCTGTTTGCGTCGCAGGAAGATAACGAGCGTATTGTGAGACCGGATCCTAGCTATGCGCAGCCGTCGGCGCGGTATCTCAAGCTGATACGTGATGGGGCGCTCGAGTGCGAGTTGCCGGGGGAGTATCGGGAGTATCTACATGGGATACGGCCGTTTAGGATTACGCGCAAGAAACAAGCAGTAGGCCAGGCGCTGTTTTTGAGTATTTGGATGCCGTTTGTGTTGTTTGTATTTGCACTGGGGAAGAAGTTTTCAGATGAGAAGGGGCGCGCGCCCGCATGGCTGGCGAAGCTGACTGCGATGGTATTTTCGGGCATGTGGACAAGCTATGATGCGGTTTTCAAGCCTGTGTTTGGGGAGGGAGAAAGGACGGTTGGGGATGAGGCGTTGGGAGCGATGGATCAGAGTATATGGGAAGCTCTTTCTACACGGCAAGATGCAGAGAAGGAAGGCTTGCTGGAAGAGTCGGTACATACCATGTACACGGCTCAGATGGCTGTGCAAAGGCCCTCGCGGGGGGATGATGTGGAATCGTGTTGAAACTGCTCTCCTGGTACGAGAAGCTCTTGGGAGATTACATTTCAGGACATGGAAATTAAACAGGATAGAAGCAACAATGCGAGCCGCCTGGTAAAACTATGAGCAAGCATGCTAAGCATTGATTGATAATGATATGGTATGTGATGTAGACACTATGACACATTCAGAGGCAGACAGGGCATGCGACAGGCTCATTGACCTGTAGTTATTTGTGGAGATGGCTCAGTGTATGTTCACCAGGAGTACCATAGTTATCTGTATGTATACTTGGAATCATCTTCAGCACCAGGCTGGATACCTCAGCATGCCCCGCTCGTCTTGTGAAGACACTTAGAAAATCCATTGTACAGTCACACCGGATGTCGACGCTTGCCCTTTTCTTATTCTCCAAACAACTATCACTTATTCTCCCCAGTTTTACTGTTACACCATCATTATCATTCATCTTGTTTTTTTTTGGCATTCCACCAACCTCTCACGATTTCCGGCTTTGATATTGCAGTTTGATCATCAAGCTACAGACCGTTGATATATCACATTTGTGTACTTCTGTAAAGTATATCTACATCACCGCACCGGAGACTTGCAGTTTCCTCACAACATTTTCCAACACATTATACCTCAATTCCTATCTTCTCATACTCTTCGGCAGAAACTATGCTTCGTAAAAGCACATCGCATCATTCCGTCTGGGATGATCCATCACCATCGCGAAATTACTGCTGCTGCGAGTGTAATCGTCCAATGCGGCTCCTGTCGATTGTCGATGCTACACTGAAGTTACTTCGCGTTCGCGCAAAGCACTACAAGCCTCTGGTTGTCTGTAGTTGTGCGTGCCATGCCCAAATTGACGCACGGAGACGATCAGTGTAGGCTGCTGTGGCTGATCTCGAAAACTGCTTGTTGGAAAACGACGAGAAATACAAATTTCTGGGCGATTGGGACAACGGAGGATGACAAAATACTACATAAGTAGTTCCCTGTGGTCATTTTGTGTAGATAAAATTGTTTTGTATGCTTTTCCGTGTTACAAAGGCAATCAATGAAGTTTTCTCTTTGCATACTATGCTCTTTCTATACCCTTATGTTTCCCCCCTTTTCTCTCTTCGTGCATACATCCGCAAATTATTTAATCGAGTTGAAATGTTGTTTTTCATATAAGTGGGGCTCACGCACGATGAATTGAGTTGCACATAGTAGCAGTGAAGACGCAACATTGTACGTTTGCGTCACTCACTAGGCCACTCACGATCACTACATTGTCAAAAAACCTCCTTCACTGAAAACTGTTCTCGACACTCATCTCCCTATATATATCCAACCATACTACTACATAGATGTACTGTATCTCAATCAATAGCAGCACATAGAAGTACTCTCAGTGGCCACTGGAAGCAACAGACTGGCCTTCTTGGATCTACAGCCGCACAAGAAACCATGGATCCCTCACAAATCCCCAGTATCAACTCCGACAGCCCACCACGTTCGAGTCAAGAAACGATGCGCCCCAAAAGGAGAGGATTCCACCAAAAGAAGGAAGAGCGCCAGAACCCCGTAGCGGACTTGAGGAACATGTCTTCGAGTGCCCCAGGCGCTTCTCCCCCGACTAAGGATGAGGAGAACTTACAAAATCAAGAACCAACCGCTGGAAGCTCCGAGTATGAGAGGTATGCTGGCTTGATGCATCCGTTCGATATGATGGAGGGAAGTTTCAAGTACGCTAGACTGCCGCTGACGCAGAGAATTCCTGGCAGTGTCGCACGCGGGCGTGTTATTGCGGCAAGTCGACTGCGAAATCTCAAGATACAGCAACTACCTTTTCGAGGACGCTCCAAATACACAGAGACTTCAGCAGAGTTGGTTCCAGGCCCACCAACAAACACAATTCCTTTTGTCGAAGAAGAGGACGAAGATGATGAAGATGACGAGCCGTCCAGCCCTATCGGCAAGTGGCGCTGTTGCAAATGCGGCAGCAGCCACGATGTCTACAGCGTTGCACATGGCCAGCATCCTGTCAGGGTCCTGACCTGCAACTGCATGCACGGATCCTGCTCCAAGTGTACACTGGAAGGTTTGATCAAACAATTCGTACCCATGATGGAGCCAGAAGTCGTGCACCTCTCTGAGGACGTAAACAAAGCCGTACGATTCGGCGTCTTCTGCGATGGCTGCGGTCAATCCTGGCGCGCCCAAAAGGTCCATGACGATACGAACAAGGTGGCAGCAGTGAAAGCAGCCTTGACAAAGATAACCGCGATCCCCAAACGCCTCAACAAGCGTGATCCGCACCCTCTCAAGAACATGCGGGCCTCAAGGTCAATGGATCATCTCCTTCACCCTTGCACTGCTTGCGCGCCAATGGCGACCTCAAAGTCCGTCCTCAACCTCCGCGCGCTCTCCAACGAGATGCAGAAAGAACATGGCGAGCAAGCAGAGCTGGTATCTGTGCGGTTCACAGGTATCAAGTGTGACTGTGGTATGATCACCGATTCCAACTCGCTTTGCTTCCAGATTGTGGATCCGCCTAGAGATTTTTACAGAGTCCAGTTTATGAAGCAGATGGCTGGACGTCGAGTATCTGGCTTTGGTACTACGCCAGAGGACAAGGTGAGGGGGCATGGAACGCCGATTCTGGTCTTGAGAGGCTATATTCGCCACCCTAATCCGCTCATGAGTAGCCCTGTGGCGTAGTGTGGCGTTTGTTGCAAGTAGGTCCGAAGAAAGGTGGATCTGGAGTTCTGGCTTTATTGTGCATTGCGCCGGATGATAGGGGTTGTCGGATGATTGGGACTAGGCAAGCCGTCTAGTACTTGTCTTCCTCTTGAACTACACCGGTCTGGAGCAGTCGCCCAAGTATTTGGCGGCGATATTCGTCAAGGATACTGTAGGCATCAATGAATAAAGGAAAAAAAAAGCCCAATGACTGCCTGTCGGCTGAATTGAATTTCCGTGACTCTTTACCCCAGATGATGTTCCATGAGCACGATAGCACTGCCCCAGGCGACCCACTTCGCGAACACAGTGTTCGCATGTCTGCCATTCCGAGACTTTATTGAATCAACATGGTCCTTATGACCTTATCAGGTATTTGTTAGTTCATCAAAGGAATTGCCGCCTCATTGTGTAGCTGAGACTGTTTCAGCGCTGATTGTGCATATGTGCTTCGACTCAGGCATCAGCCGTCATCTCGCTGTCGTGATGTTACCTTCAGGCACAGCCAGGGCATCAGCATCCCCATGCTTGTAATTTTATAGCACCTGCCTATTATGGGTGTAAACTAGGGCGCTAGACACATGGGGTCTCCGAAAGCTAAATGGTCATGCAGACGCTTTAAACGCTGGCTCAGGCACCAGGAGAGGCAGTGCAAGGCGTGACGCCTGGAAAACGTGGGCGCGTAAATCACATCAGCAGCCGTCATCTAGATAAAACGGTGAATCACCGTGCGCCATTGTTAACAACGCACTTCATCACTTCGACATCAAAAAGTTTCACATTCCAAACACTCACCTACAAACATTTGTCTATATAGTCATTGTCTAGTTTGCCCGTTGTGTACTCAAACCAATGTCACTAGCCAAGTATGGTCCCGTGCCCCACCAAGATCCTAGTACAATAACCTTAGACACCCCGACTTACATTCACAAACTCAGACTCCAACTTGCACGACAAACCCCATCTTGCACCATATTACCTCGAGCAGCCACTTCTCCAGCACACCCGGAAGTACCATTTGCTATAAGAAGAATAGTACACCAGTTTAGCCACAACCTATCCGCCAAGGATCCATCTCCTACAACACCAACACCAACCATGGTCTTTGGAAAACCCATCATGGACAAAATGCGCGGCAAAAAGCCCGAACCAGAAAACAAAGTTCCACAAGGCGTAGACATCGACCAAGACGTCGAAGACGTCAAAAACCAACTTCCACCCTTACCCTCACCTCGACCCACCCCCCACAAAGACTTCCTCCACTGCGTGCCCCCCAACGCACCTACCTATCGTAAATTCAGCGTCTTCACCGCAGGCAGCATAGAAATGGGTAGCGCCGTCCAGTGGCAAAAGCACATGGTCACCATGCTCTCCCACCTCCCCATCACAGTCTGCAACCCGCGCCGCGGCCACTGGAACCCACACATTACACCGCAGGCCCGCGACAAGGACTTCAAAGAGCAGGTCGAGTGGGAGCTCAGCGCGCTGGAGCAGGTCGATGTGATTTGCTTCTTCTTCGACGTCACGACGAAAAGTCCCGTGTCGCTGCTTGAACTGGGGCTGTGGGCTGGGTCTGGCAAGGTGGTTGTGTGCTGTGGAGACGGGTACTGGAAGGGTGGAAATGTGGAGCTGACGTGTGAGCGGTACGATATTCCGTTTGTCAAGTCGTTTGCTGAGCTGGTGCCTGCGGTGGAGAAGATGCTGGTAGAGAAGGGTATGGCGATTGATGCCAAGGGGGATTTGGTGGGGGAGAACGTGCACGTTGAGAAGGAGAAGCCGAAGAAGAAGGCGCAGCTTGAGGCTGAGAAGGAGGACTTGCAGAAGCGGATTGATGCGCTTCAGGCACAGCTGGCTGAGTCGAAGCTGTGATTTTTTTTTCATGGGGGGATTTTCCTTGGTTTTCATTTCTTTAACTTGCTTCTCGTTGCATTCACGGTACGAGGCAATTGGGCGGCGGGCTATTTGAGCGCGTCTTATTCAAGGCGATCATGGGTGGCTTTTTCCAATTCACGTCTAGTCTATACCCCTGCATGTAGCATTCCTCTCAGTTAGACGTCGTGTCAATATTTCCAAGTCACTCTTTTCCCACTTTAAGAAAAATGCATCTGGGATTGAATTTGCCATGTAGCAAATCTACCTGAGTTTGACCTGCAGCACCCCCTTCCAAGCGTGCAGCGCGCTGTCAACGTATTCCAATGCATATGCTTCCACATCCGAATCGCTGAGAATCGATTTCAGTATTTCGCCTGTCTCGCCCCACCGTACCTGTGCCTTGATTGCAGCTACACCCTTCTTTTCGATTAGGTTGATGTAGCTATGGACCACATCGCGTATCGCATCATAGCACAACTTTGTTTCCGTCTCTATTTCGCTAACCCAGTTCTTTGGTAGCTTGGATTTGAGTGGGTGCGTGCTCTTAGGACTGAGTACCTTCTCGCGGAGTAGATCGTCCGTTCTGATAAGTGCGCGGAGAATCTCCAGCTTGGTGTAGCACGAAATGAGCATGTTTTCGTGAAACATCGTGGGCTCATCATCAAGCTTCAAATTGGTATTATTAGGCATGCGCAGCTTCTCCATCGCTAGACGCATTGCGTGAAGCTCTTCTGACAGCTCTGTGAGAACACCAGGGAGCAGCTTCGGATCTGCTTGTCCGGCCATGGTCACAACAATTGTATTAATGCCAAGCCATGATTTTTCAGCTCTTGATTCCGCTGGGGTGTTGTTCGTTTCGACTTGATGGCCTTCTTTGGGGGTAGCAATTTCATCTACCCACAAGCCTACGTCTTCCCACGTTTGCGTCTCCTTGTATAGCACTCTGCTGCTGGCCTCCCAGATCGAATAGCTTTCTATGAGCCATGGTAGATTGGGAACTACGTTGGGCATGACATATGGCAACGGACCAGAAGATTGCGTATCGTCAAAGTCGGGGAAGACACATCTGTCCACATTGTCGACGATGTTCTGGAAACCTGTATTTTTTTAGCAGAGAACAGTTCATTGAGCTACTGTACTTACTTTGCCGGTCTAGAACAGGTAGCTGATCAACTGGTTCCCCCTTTAGTCGCGCTATGCGACGGCGCTCCAGATTGCATATATGTTTTGTTGAACTTGATTTGAGTTTCCCCCTCAGAGACAATAGACCGATAGCTTGATCCCATGGGATTGTTTTGAGATCAGGGTATATCGTGTCATCCGTCTTGGACTCCATTCTCTCCATGGTACCAATGGCTTTCCCGAGTTCTTCTTCTGCTGAGAAGCCTTGGTAGCCTTTGGCACCAAACGGATGTGTTATCGAGAGGCGAGACAAGACGTATGGAGAAATAGTATGAACCAACATCTCCTTGCATTTGGTGTAGCTGTACATCTGGAAAGCCGACTTTCCAAGACCTAGGTTCAGGTGTATCCTGGCAGCGAGTAATGCGCGCGGCCGGTCTTGCTTTTCTTTGTCGCAAGCGACTAGGTGGCGTGCAAGCATTGCAGCTTGTAAGAGGAGCCGAGAGTTCGGCGTATTCTCAAAAGGGTGTTGAGATTCTTCGTAGCGCATAACGACATAATGCATTCGTAGGAGGGAATAAACCGCAAGGAATCCTCCCGAGGAGCTGGGCTCGTAGAAGCCCGACGATTTACACACCGTTTTAAGGATGTACTTCAGAACATTAAATATGTCGCCTTGCCAGCCTTTCTCCGCCACTGGCGATGTGATTAGATGGGTAATTTTCATGATGTTCTCTGAGTGTATGTTGCACTGTTCTTGCGTATATTTATTCCCCTACCGTGCGGTTAGTAAGATATAAGCTTGGCTCTCTAAACATTTTGTCCTGCGAAGAAGTAATAAGGTACAGCCCAGAGGCTTTCGAGTGTCCCGAGAAACAGAAGAATCAGAAAACATACCGTTGTCGAACTTATCACAGTATTCAAGCTTTGGAAAAAGTGCGATTTACCTCCGGGACCATGGTTGTTGTGCAATGTTTCCAAAAATGGGCGGATGTCTGTGAAACAGCTGGTAAGCGTCGAGTGATTCTTCCAATATGCCAGGCAGTCGCCTGCCATTGGAACTCCGACGAAATGACGAAGCTTCATGTACGTCAAACTCATCGCACGATCGTTGGTTCGTAGTTCTGTTCCAAAAGCACGGTGTAGGACATCATTAACAGTGCGGATAGCCCTAGAAGATCAAATAAGTTGGTGCAGAGATAGTACAAAGAAAACTTACTCGTTTTTGGGCAGATTTATTCGGAGTGCTGCTAGCCAATCTGTCCATAAATCCACATTCCAAGCACAGAGTTCCCACAGCGCCTTGGAGTCTGGATTCTCGGTTATTTGCGATATCGCGTTCTCAATCCTAGCCCGTGATTCACTCTCAACAAGCGACCAGTGCTTGCTCTCCCTTGAGAGTCTGATTCTCATGATCTGTAAGTCGGCTTGGTGCGTCGTCATGAGATCCTTCAAGGTAGCAGGTGGGTTGTTCCAGAGCTCTATGAGCTCATCACATTTACGTTGTCGTGCGAAAATCTCACCCATGAAGCGTAGATCCCGGATGTCTTTACACGCAATCGGCTCGTCCTAGAACAGATTAGTATGTTGCGATTCATTATAGCGAGGGTTACTAACTGGAGACGCTTCGTATGATTGTTTCAGTAGCCTACGTGCTAGCTCGAACTGTACCTTGGACTTGAGGCTAGCGCCGGGTATCTGGAGTTGTTGCTCGGCTGCAAGTTGCGTTGCGAGTATTTGTATGAAGTGGGTATGCTTCTTCATTGATGCAGACGCGGAGGTGTCTTTGAGCTCCTTGCTGTATTGAACGACAGCCTAGAGGCTGTTTGTTAGCAATTCATGATGATCAACCGAGAAGTGCTGTCATACAAAGCGAAAATCTTCCCAGCATTGTTCGTGCCATGCAACCTTGCCAAGCGCGGACCATAACTCTTGCCGTTCCTGAGGGCTCAGTGTTTTTGAAGCGCTAAGCCAAACCTTGGAGTTCTCATTGCCGAGTCCACTCATACAAGTGTTGGTAGCATTGCTTCTTCGCATCGCCTCGGCAGATAGTCTGTAGAGATATGCTAGCAGCCGGATATCGTAGGGTCCGGGCTGCTGCCATGCCTGCTGTACTTGGAGAAGCACATTCTTTGGATCTTGGGTGAGTTGCAGTGAGATGTCCGCTTTCCAAGCCTAGCAAAAGTTTAGTTGTTAATGACGCTGTTGCATTGATGAATTTGCTTACCAACAAAAATGGATTCTTGGGGCTTTTCTTCAACGACTTTTGAACAAACGAATCTGCAAACTTGGCTTTTGGGTAGTCACGCTGCGCCTTACACAATTTATCCCAGCTGTTGCACGCCATGATGCCGTCTACCGAAAGCGCAAGCGGGTAGCACCAAAGCGACTGTAATGTTGGTTAGTGATGTCGAGGCTAGCAATCAAGTGTTTAGTGCAATGGTTGTATGTGCGCTGGTGGTATATTAACGGAAAAAGACGAAAGCGGACATTGGGTCGGCAGCCGCAGGCGAGTCTCGGCTCCACAACGCTCCGTCTACTTACAGGCCCACGAGCATCCTCAGTTGTGTGCCGCACCTACTTCTCTCCGCCATCGCTATGGCCTCGCCCAAATTGCATGACAGTAGCAAGGCTTGGGAATCATCTACTAAAAGTACGTTGCACAACAATATCCTGCACAACGAATAGTATGTGATGTATAGGACTTTATTATAATATGGCTGCAATCCCTGTGAATGCAGTTGCTTGCCCTGTACTATGAGGCAGCTGCGAATAGCCCATAGTCTTGGCGCATCGGTCATTGGTCAAGGTTCGTGCAAGAAAGGTAGTAGTGGCACTCTTGTTTATAGATTTGCACAGTTGCTTATGACCAGTGATCGAACCAGAGTGTACCATATAAACTATGCAGTATATTACAACCAGCTGCAGTGAATATTCTCCACTATCTTCTTATAAGAGAGGAATCTTGAACAAAGCATTGTGATAGCAACAGCGTATCCCTCGCAGAATACAATAGAAATGCATGCCAAGACCTATACACGTGATATAGTCTCAGCGGGCAGAAATGCAAAAAAAAAGATGCAAAAGAAGACAAAACATACGACAGCGGGGATTCGCTAGATAGGTGTGTGGCTGTGAGATGTGCTAGGGTAGGGAAGGCACCAAAGCAGTACCAATGAAGAAACGGGAAGGCGCCAAAGTAGTATCTGTAAGGAGGGTAAGTTAAGACGCCGAAGCAGCGCCTAAAAAAAGAAAGAAGGTGTTGACAGAAAGAGAAGTAAGAGAAACAAATTTAGTACGTAGACTTGGGTTGAATACCCAAGGAAGCTCACGTGACGTGATGCTATCGACATCCCAAGCATAGCTCATCATTCCGCACACGGGTGGAAAACAGTCTTTTCATGCTAGACAGTAGACTAACGACATTAGCGAATTCTTTCCGTGCGTAGTGATAGATTCATAAAGGTGCGAGCGCAGAGTTAGCATCTCGCAATTATGCAGAAGAGGGATAGAACGTCCGTGCATCATAACATACATACATTACTCGTACATTCATACACCGCAAACGAGGCTAGGCCTTTAGAAAGTAGGTCTCGTTCTCTCGCCCTTCCAAAATCCCATGACTTCTCCGGTCTCCCCAACCCACTCCCTGACACCAGTGACAACGGCTTTCGCCATGCCTGCATTTGTCCCACTCCTCGCCCGTCTCTTTCCCTGTATTCCACTCACTCCAACACCCGACCCGCTTCCATACGAATCCGGCGCTTTTCCTGGGTTGATATAACTGCTTCCATCGCCAGTCGCATACTCGGAGCCCATCGAGGGCAAAACGTTCTCGCCAGCCGACAGGGAAACGAAGAGCGCAAAGGGGACGAGCCAGACGCATAGTCCAAAGTAGGCAGCGATCTCCGTAAACGTAGGAATATTCGTGTCGCGTGTATAAGGATATGAAGAGTAGGAGTTGGCAGGCGGAGCACTAAAGTGACGGAACCAAAGGTAATGATTTGCAATGACGAGCGCTAGAGTCGGTCAGTTTCATGTCTAATGCAGTCCCTTATACGGGGCGTCGCATACCGCAGGACAACAAGAATAGCGGGTCGGTGAGCTTGACGACAGGGAAGCGCCTAAGGTTCTGGGCGTATATGCCATGCGACACAACGCTCAACAGACTTAGCCCGACGGGGAACTTGTCGACAACAAGTAGGAGAAACTGAACGCCAACAACTCCATAGATGAGGCGGTATAGAAGTTTCTTTGCCAATACGGTATGCTCTTCCACAAGCTCGGAAAGGTAGTAGAGGCCAGAAGCTACATTGAATCATTAGCTCTCATACTCGTCCGTAGCGCCACCAATCGGCTTTTGACGGAGAAATCAAGTACCTATTGCCAGTGTCAAGAAGGCAAACCCTAGTATGAGGCCAACATATCCAAGCAACGGTAATATCCACATGGTAAAAGGCGGCCTTTGGAAAAGTATCTGGAGTAATTGAAAAGATCGGGAAGTAAGGCAGCCGCACGATGAGGTCAGTCCAAAGGTGGCATCAAGGCTAGCGGAGAAAGCCGAGGATCCGCGCCGAAGTGTGGGGGTTGACCACCAAAAAGTTGTCGAACTCTTGGCTTTTGCATTCCGCGATAAACTCACGATTCCCACCCCTCTGTGGCTCTGCGCAGTCTTGTGTAACCGTCGCATAGCCCGGAAAGTACCGAAACTGTAAAATTAATCGCTTGCCGAAGGTTTTCTCTGAGCCAGAAAAATCCTCAACCATGTCGCGCCCCGAAGATATTCTGTACGCTTTCCCACGCAAAAGCTCAGCCCGTGCGACGCACAATTAACAGAACTCTTGTAGACCGCCCGACCTCTTCTACAATGACATCGAATCGCGCAAGTATACGACTTCGTCGCGAATCCAGAAGATTCAATCCACAATGACCCACCGCGCCCTGTCCCTCCTCGCGCTATCTTCGCCTTCAATGATTCTCGACGTCGGTTGTGGCTCTGGTCTCTCGGGCGAAATTCTGTCGCAAACGGCCGAGCAAGGAACACCAGGAGGTCCCCATGTATGGATCGGCTACGATATCAGCGCGTCAATGTTGGGCGTGGCGCTGGAGAAGGAAGTCGAGGGCGATTTGCTGCTGGCAGATGCGGGGCAGGGTGTGCCCTTCCGGCCGGGAACCTTCGATGCAGCAATCAGCATCAGTGCAGTACAGTGGCTATGTAACGCTGAGACGAGTGAGGAGAGCCCCACAGGCAGACTATCCAGATTCTTCAATCAGCTGTACGCTTCTTTGAAGAGGGGTGGCAGAGCAGTCTGCCAGTTCTATCCCAAGAACGATACTCAGAAGAAAATGGTGGCCCAAGCGGCCATCAAAGCGGGCTTTGGCGCGGGTCTGTTGGAGGACGACATGGGCACCAAGAGCGCAAAAACATATCTCGTGCTGACAGTCGGTGGAGGAGCCACCGACGGCGACATCACGGGTGTAGTGAGGGGTATGGAGGGTGTTGATGTCGAAGATGCACGAAGAAAAGCAAAGGGCATGAAGAGGGGTGAAGAGAGAAAGGGCAGCAAGGCCTACATTATGAAGAAAAAGGAAAAGATGGAAAAGCAAGGCAAAGTGGTCAAGTCTTCGTCCAAGTATACGGGCAGAAAGAGGAGAATCCAATTCTAGATACCCACGACATCACGAGGTCATGCATAGCACGGAGTTTAGGGTCTGAGTTTTTTTCAGCATTTCGTTCACAAGGGTATAAGAATGGTCAATTCAATCGTGTAGCATGCTATATACCACCTACAAGTACATCTCTATGCACATTTCAGCTTGCAGTTGTACAGGTCCCATCGCGTCTAGTCGTCAATGAAATATGTTTCTTCTGTAACCAATGACATTGCCAGCGTCAAGCCAACATAAGCCGAGGTCTAGATATGACTGTATCATCGCGCTAGCTTAAAGCTTAGCAAAAACCGAGGATGTGATGATCAATTTAAGCCTTCTCCATCTGGTTCAGGACGGCGCGAGTGAACTCGTGGGTGGTGGTGTTGCCACCCATATCCCTTGTGCGGGCGGTACTGATAATTGTCAGTTTCAATACTCTTGTTGTGCTTTGTTCAGATAACTCACCCGTCAGCAATGACCTTGTAGACGGACTGCGAGATGCGGTTGGCGTGATCATCAAGACCAATGTGGCGCAGCATCATGGCGGCAGACAGGATCAAAGCAGTAGGGTTGGCCTGATCCTTGCCCTTGATGTCGAGACCGACGTGACGGCAACCGGGCTCGAAGACGGCGACGTTGCGGCCCATGTTGCAGCCAGGGACGATACCGGGGCCACCAACAAGACCAGCACCAATGTTGGAAAGGATACCTCCGTACAAGTTCGGCATCACCATAACATCGAATTGTTGTGGCCTTGAGACGCACTGCATGGAGGCGTTGTCAACAATCATGTCGTTGGTCTCGAGAGTGGGGTAGTCCTCGCCGACCCTCTTGACGGTGTTGCGGAACAGACCATCGGCAAGCTTCATGATGTTGGCTTTGTGGATGCAGGTGACCTTCTTGCGGTTGTTGGCAAGGGCAAAGGCAAAGGCGAACTTGGCGATGCGCTCAGACTTCTCGCGGGTGATGATCTTGAGCGACTCGACGACGCCCGAGACAGACTGGTGCTCGAGACCAGAGTACTCGCCCTCGGTGTTCTCACGGATGATGCAGAAGTCGATGTCCTTGTGGCGCGTCTCGTAGCCAGGAATGTTCTTGAGGAGAACAATGGAAGCATAGATGTCGAGCTCCTGGCGGAGAGCGACGTTGAAGGAACGGTGGCCGGAGCGCTCGACGGGAGTGTGGAGGATACCCTTGAGACCAAGCTTGTTGCGCTTGAGCGATGCAATCGACTCGCGGAGGAGCTCCTCGGAGTGGACGTTGCCAGAATCGACACCAGAGACGTCGACCTGCTCCCATTCGATGGGCACGTTGTCCGCCTTGAAGATCTCCTTGACCGACTCGGAGACCTCAGCACCGATACCATCACCTGCGCATGTTCAATATCACGTCTTTTTTTGCTAGTTTCATGTGCGGCTATCGCGCGTACCAGGGATCAAGGTGACGGTGTATTTGCCGCCGAACTTGGTGGGCTTGAAGATGTCCTGGCCGACCGTGGCCATTGCTGTCACTGCGTCAGAATCTCCATGCTGGCTGTCTGCTAGGCGGGTGCTTCATACATCGAGTAGCCATGGCGGGCGCCCATCGTGAGGCAGGCTTCGCGCCCCGCAGGAGCGTCTATACAAGCGCATTAGTACTGACGTCGCCTTGCACCCAAAAAATACCCAATTGGGCGTGTAGGGCTGGGTTCGTACCTGCGCTGTTCGTTGCGGGGTCCTCGACAGCATGGTGAAGTTGCGGCGTAGGGCTGGTGGTGAGGGATTTGAGGTAGAGAGAAACAGGCTGGAGCTGCCGCTCGCCGAAAAAGCATCCCGAACCGAAGGAAGAAACCGCGCTTGGCGAATGACCGCATCCGTTCAAACCCGCGGCTCGCTGTCTCAAATATCTCCGGCCCTGCCTCTCCTTGCTCTCCAATTGCTGCTCGAGTCTTTTGCGATTCTTTTTCGTCATGGATCAAGTTGCAGCACCGCATTTGCTGCTCTGGCTGCTCGAGTCTCTTCGTCACCCACTTTTGGGCGCGCAAACCTGCTCGCATGTGATAGCGTAGTACAGTCTTCGCCTCACACGCAACCATGTCCATTCATGCCAGAGTACAGCCGATAATTATATCGACTCTGTATCAAACTCAAAATGTTCCAGGTTCCCGCTGTTAGGTTTTTGCAGCGAACTTCAATTTCTTACAGTAATCAATTACCCACATGTTTCTTCTCGTCTCTATTACCATTGCAACACTCTTATTGTGCAGAAACTACCGTCCAAGCCGAGAGTATAAGATGAAGAGTTTCGCGTATAGTATACAATTATCTAATTTCATGAGATTCAAGCGCATCTAGTAGATCTCTTCGATGTCAGTTCCTCGTCCATCGAGCTGTCTACAAGATGGCACAGGTGAAGGTGACGACACTCGTATTCTCTATAGTAAGACTCGTGGCTCGATACTATCTGCACCTGTTCACTGTGACATGACCCCACTTGGAGACTATTGCCTTTACCTAGCTGTCCACTTACTTCTAGCTGTTTTCTGCTTCATCACTACCAATCTCTATCTTACCTTTGACCCTACGTTTTGACACGCTCATCTCATGACCCACTGACAACGACAATACACACCCTATCTACGATGAAGGTCACGGAGGAGGGTTCTGATCGAAGTGCAGAGATGCGTGTTTGCATCGAAGGCCACGCCGATCCTCTGCCTGAATATGGAGAATACGTTGATCCGGTTGACCATGCAGTATGTTCTTATATCCCTTTGGAAGAGGGACAAAAGCCAAAGTTCAGTGGAAAATTCAACGGAACTGTAAGTCTCTTGTCCTGTGTTCATCTGTATTCCCTTCTCACAACTAAGCAGACACTAGACATCGTGTGCGACGCCTTCATGGACGGAATACTCCGCAAACACTACTCCTATGGTGCCAGGGCTGTACGATTCCAAAAGGGTAAAAAGATCGAGATTGACAAGTTTCTTTTCAAGACAGAGGATGGAGTTATTGATTCCCCGATGGTTGTGTCTACTCTGGACATGCCCACGACTCAATCCGATTCGCCAGAGACCATTGGCACTATGGAGCTCCGACTCTACTGCACGCGTAGAATGAGCGTCTCCCATGAAGTCAAGGGTACTAAGCATTATTACATCGATTACGATCAGAAGCCGGCCAATGAGGACAATGACACGTCCAACAGTGAAGACAGCGAGACGTCCGACAACGAGAACAACCAGAAGCCCGACAACTCCAAGAAGGGCAGTGAGAAGACCAATCAGATCGTAAACTATAGGCGTATTGCACCCACATCCCTACTCGACATAGAGAGAGATTCCGCTCCTATCAGCGAACAAGCAGTAGCCAGTCACCACAACAAGATGGTTTCATCACGCCCAGGAGAAAGGCCTTGGGCTATATTCCGGTTTCATTACCGCAATAAAGGTATCTATGGGTACTTATCATTTAAGAGAACTGTTACTAAGAACATGCTATAGAAGCTCTCGAAAAGTCTGGTATGGCGCTGGTATACGACCCCAAGAAACCAACCAGTGCTCGGGTTCTGTCTTTTCTGGAGCCTGTGCCTCCGCTTATTGCAGAAACAAAGGGTCAGCCTCGCACTCCAGCTGCAAGTGAAGAACCCTCTTCAAAGGTGAGAGAGACTTTACTCCCGGAGGTGACATCGGAGCGCTAGAAAGCGAGGTCCATTTTACTAACATCTAATGATAGACATCCACTGCTACAAAGACCAAGCTGGAGTCGCTAGCAGATCCGGCAGTAACAACAATGACCTCGGTCGCCGAAAGTATCATCTCTACTATCAGTGAGCCTGGGACCAAACGTCCCTCCGAGACTATCAACGAGACACTTCCTGAGTCAAAACGTCCAAAGGTCCTCCCACCACCGCCTTCCTTGGCAACCAACTCTCTCAAAAGCCAACTTGCCGAACGCCGCAAGAAGCTTGCAGAGTTGCACAAGAACCACCGTCAGGAAGCTGAGACCTTGGCTACTATCCAGAGGAAGATAGAGCCCTACGAACAGCGTATGATGGAGGAGCTGGAGTGCATCAACCAAGCGATAACGGAGGAGGAGACGGCACTCGAAGAAGTGGTAGAGCGTCGCAGCCACTTTGAGAAGGTCCTCCAAGAGTTTGAAGATGGCCAAGATGATGCCTAGAACTCTTCTTGTGGTAGGGGAAAGCAAGGATATCTTGATTGGGCATGGAATATCACAGGGAGCCTCTGGAATTTGGGCAAGGAAATGAATCACCGGGCTAACATCTCAAGCAGTATCATGATAGGGAATGGGCGGTGGATTTTCTTACGGGTCTGGGCGTTCAGGGCTATTGAGGCCATTTCACATTCTTGGGATTGATGACTAGCTCGAGATACATTGAAGCAAACCGATAGTTTGGAAGCTACCCTCAATCCCGATAAAAAGCAAGCAAGGAATTGGTGAAATCAGGACATTGATCAAGTCATATACCCACTATAGTTCAATTTGGAACGGAAAACAATTTTAAGGAGCTTTCAAAAGACAACACAGTGTCTCTGCGCACTCATTGATCGGGTGCCCGTTCTCTGGACACTCTCATGTTGGCCTTGATACGTTCCAGCAGCTCTGCAGTCGTCGCTAAGGGTGAGGGATGTAGATTTCGCTACAACATTGTTAGCCAGAGTCTAGTTACTCGCTGAATGCAACCTTGAAGCAAAGCGATGTTTTGGGACAATAGCAGCGTTCTCTAAAACAAGCGGCAAGTACTTACATGCTGAAGCCAGGTAACGCATTGGTCATGTGTCCATGTTTCTGGGTCTACGGTTTAAGTTAGTCCAACTCTTTGCCAGATCCATGCATCTCTTCCGCATTGATGACGTACCGCCAGTAGGATCTTGACTGGGAAAGATATCTTGGCCCCAGATACTCCATGCTGCAACACCTGCGACTATAGCGGCGAATGCAAAGAACGGTCCCTGTAACAGTTTTAGCATGCAACAAGATTGATGCAGTGAAGGCCCACTATGTATAGTAGACGCCAGGATAGCCATTCGTAACTCACACGTTGTTGCACTGCGCGGTCGATGGGAGTGGGCATGTTGGAGGTTGGCAGTAATGCTAGTTTTCTGAGAGAACTGCTCCACACTTCACTGCAATTTGATAAGGTAATAGAGCAGGAGAGTTGCAAGCCTTAGGTAGGAATCTGGTAGTAGGCAGCACCATTGATCCTCGCTTCACATGTGTCAAACGCCACACTCGTCGTCAGCCCACCAAGCCCGATGCAGCAACGCTTGCGACCAGCCCCTTGGTAGCCCGTGCGTCCAAGCGAATTTCTCTCCACAACAACCAACGCAATTTGCTTGGTCGACCTCCCGAACTTCACGATCCGAACCCAACGACTCGTCGACACATTACCGTCAAGATGCCTTCCGAAGTTTCCGACATTAAGCAGTTCATCGAGATCTGCAGGCGCAAGGATGCCAAGTGTACGTCTACCAATTTCGATATGGGAGTGGTCTGCGGTCGCAAGAAGAGGAGGGAGTTCGCATGACGATTGAATACAACAGCGACTACGGGAGGGAAATTCCTGTGGATAGGCTACTTTATGTGAAAGAACTAGACTGACAGAACTGTAGCCGCCTGCATAAAGAAGAACAAGAAGGTCAACAACATCAAGTTCAAGGTCCGATGCTCAACCAACCTGTACACCCTTGTCCTTAAGGACACCGACAAGGCCGAGAAGCTCAAGCAGAGTCTGCCCCCGGGTACGCACCACCCAGAGAAATTATGCTCTCGTCTAGGCTACTCATCTAACACGCACCAGGTCTTACCATCTCCGACGTTGGCAAGAAGAACCCCAAGGGCAAGCGCACCGCATAAACGGATCGAAAGGCATGAGGAACTCAGGACGGAAGTGTGCAAGGACATCAATGCACGATGCGCACGAAGCATGAAGGCATGGGCGGACGGCGTCACAACGGATAAACCTTGTTCAATGACACTAAGGAACCCTTCACATTGGGTTACCACCAGGAATGAAAAATGTCAAAATCGTTCTAAAGCACCACAAACATGGCTTGATACAATTATGGTGGTTCATGTGGTCATCATTGCTGGACATTTAGCCGTGGAGCATATAGCTTCATGGGTGCTAACACCATAACCGCTTCGACTTCCTCTATTTTTGCTTTGCATTGAGTATGCATGAATCCGTTCGGGCGTATCGCACATTGTTAATATCCTAGCCGCCCATACAGAGTCTCCTTGAAGTCTATCAGCGTATCAAAGACGTAGTCATCACAATGGATCAAAACCGTCAGATTTACGCTGGTAGGGTGCACCAACCAGAAGTCTTGATATACGCTATTGTTACAGTATTATGTCTCGCTGTATCCGAATATCAACACAGGTATATGGTAGAATACGGGGTAATCACAAATGAAGCCGAGGACGGATGAGGTAAGATATAGGAGAGAGGTACCTACTGTATCTTTGGGATGGCTGTCTCATATAATCGATTTTTCCAATGGCAGTTGCTGATTTCATACCCGACTACGTGTTCCTTAGACGGCCCTACCACTGACATGAACTCGTTGCACAAGGCTCAGTGGTAAGGTGGAGCATTCCCGCTCAGCTCCACATCGGTACTGAGCTGCAGGGGACCCCTGTCATGCCAAGCTGTCCGCATTCGAGATGCGCAGTGAACACCTGGCGAGCCAGGGACCTCGTACATAAGACAATAGCTCTCGAATGCATTGAGGGGCTGGAGCAAGATGGTTGAACTGTCAAATTCACAAGAGTGAATTGAATTCGCTCAGATACCTATTGTTACCGCCAAAAGACACGTTGCGCCGCCCAATGAACTCGACACGCGATCCATTCAACCTCCGCAGCAAAGTAACCTTCAAGACACCCTCTGCCTTTAGCATCCTCCAGAACGCCGCCAACAAGACCGCCTCGCAAGCCGTGCAATCGGGCAAGCAGGCAGTTCAGGCCACGAAACAGGCAATTCAGGACTCCGACATGTCCTTCGCCATCCCGCGCAACGTACCCAATTTCGAGAGCGCGCAACGCAAGTTTGAAGATAATGTGTGGAATAAGCTTCCGGGGAACGAAAAGGGCTTGCCAATGTACAAAGACAAGCCTTCAGGAAAAGTTTACGGATATGGTGGTCCGAGAGGAAGGAGGGGTTTTGTGAGGAGCAAGAGGGGAATGGGGTTAATAGCGCTGGTGGTACTGGGGCTCTTCTACTGGTTCGGATGGTCGAGTGGAGGTACAAGCGTCAGTGTAGCAGAAGATGAGAAGGACAGAGGGAAGAGCCTGGCGTCCAAGATTGGTGGAAGCGCTACAGGAACGAAGAGCAAAATCGACTGGGAGAAGCGGAGACAAGCAGTCAAGGATGCCTTCTTATTGAGTTGGAACGCATACGAGGAACACGGTTGGGGCTATGACGAGTACCACCCAGTTTCAAAGAAGGGACGATACATGGCTGAACCCAATGGCCTAGGTTGGATCATCGTGGACGCGCTCGACACACTCATGATCATGAATCTGACCCAGGAATACAATCACGCCCGCGAATGGATATCCACGACTTTAGACTATGACAAGAAGCAGGATGTCAACACTTTTGAAACGACGATTCGCATGCTTGGTGGTCTGCTGTCGGCACATTATCTACAAGACTTACTCCCTGGAATGAAGCCTTCGAATGCAAATGACGAGGACCTCTTCCTAGAGAAGGCAACGGATCTTGCTGATCGCCTAATGGGCGCATACGATTCACCTTCAGGTGTACCTTGGGCTAGTGTCATTCTCAAGGATTCCAAGGGTGAAGCCTCACATGCCGATGGAGGTGCGTCTTCTACAGCCGAGGCAACAACTCTCCAACTCGAAATGAAGTACCTCGCTTTCCTGACTGGCGAATCACAATACTGGACTTCAGCAGAGAAGGTCATGCAAGTCGTTGACAACCTCGGTGCCAAAGACGGTCTGCTTCCCATCTTCATCTACGCAGACAGAGGCACGTTCCGCGGCAGCGAGATCCGATGGGGCAGCCGTGGAGACAGTTACTACGAGTACCTCCCTAAGCAGTACCTACAGACGCAAAAACACGAACCAGTGTACCAAGAAATGTGGAAGGAGTCTCTCAAAGGCGCAAAGAAGCACCTCCTCACCTACACAAAGCATAGCCACTTCACCGTCCTAGCAGAGCGCCCCAACGGCATAGAAGGAAACCTGCACCCCAAAATGGACCATCTCGTCTGCTTCCTCCCAGGCACCATCGCCCTCGCTGTCACCGAGGGCGCCACCCTCGCCGAAGCCCGCAAGCTGCCCACATGGGGCAAGCAACAAGAAGAAGACATAACCCTCGCCCGCGAACTCACAAAAACCTGCATGGGCATGTATAAAGTCACCGCCACAGGCCTTGCCCCTGAAATCGCCCACTTCGTCCTCGACGACCCTCCCAAAATGTACCGCACCGAGATCCTCGCCTCAAAATCTGAGCTCGATACTAGCGTCGCTGACGGCGAGGCCTGGAAGAGCGACTTTGATATTAAACCCGCGGATACGCATAACCTGCAGCGTCCCGAAACCGTCGAGTCGCTACTGTACATGTGGCGCATCACGGGCGATGAAATATATCGCGAGTGGGGCTGGGAAATGTTCGAAAGCTTCGTCAAGCACACGATTGTGCCTGAGAATGGCGGATTTTCCAGTGTGGGAGATGTGACCAAAGTGCCGCCCCCGACAAGAGATAATATGGAGAGTTTTTGGTTGGTAAGTTTTATATCCCCCTCTCCCCCTCCCTTTTTTCTTTTCATGTCTCTTTTTTCTTTGTGAGATAAAGGATAAAGACTAACGTAAAGAATAGGCCGAAACGCTGAAATACATGTATCTCCTCTTCTCACCCAATGACCTCTTGCCGCTCGATCAAATCGTATTCAACACAGAAGCTCATCCTTTTCCCCGCTTCGATCCGAGCAAGAAGCGGTTCAAGACGGGTTGGACGCGTATACCGAGGGATGAACAGGGGAATCTCAAGCCCCAGAAGGCGGATGAGAAGAAGACTTCGTAAGAGTGGATATCGAAACGCTATTGTTTTTTTTGTTTTTTCTGCTTGGGTGCCGACTTTGATGTGTGCATTCAGTGGGCGTTCTGGGTTGTAGCATTTACACGACACGTATATATGAGTGCCTGTTGACCTGCAGATTCTTTGGTCCTGTACTTTTACGTATCAATTCAATTCGAACCCATATTCATGATTCACTGTGTTGAATAGAGAGGTGGTGTCGCCTGTAAAATTGAAACAAGATGCCTTCTATTTCATGTACTATGAACATGTATATAGATGTGGTGTAAACCTACCATGAACGCCTGTACTGACACTCCTCCTCCACACATATTGCCATATCATGCGTAAACTCATAAATCGTGACTCATATCTTTGTTTTTTAAAATACGCACCGACCAACTTATGGTGCTAAATATTCTTGCTAACAGGGTTGAAGCTGTAACAAGTTTGATATATGGGGCTGTTTCCCGGTAAACTACTAGGACGTGTCCTAGCCAGTATAGTGTCAACAGGATATGGATATAGATAGCGGTATGATAAATGTCGTGGGTGCGGTGTTTTTCGATAAAACTGAGGTCCCTCCTAACGTTCCTGCGATTGCGATTGCGATTGCGATTGTTCTTCACCAATGCGTGGTGGGCTCTTGGAGTTTGCAGACGGGTTCCTAAAGGGCGAGTGACTACCCCTGTGCAATCAAAATATTAGCCTCTCGGTTTCAATACTCCTTGTGTCTTGTTAAGACTTACGAGCGTCTCCGCTTCCCCTCATCTCTCCTCTCTTCAATTACTTTGAGCATCGTCTTTCGCCCATCCTTGGCGTTGATATGGGCGTCCCGCATACTCATGCTTACTTTGGTGCTCGCATCCGCTCTAAGCAGCCTCTTCAGCAACAAGTGACGCATGAGAACACAGACAAAAACTCCGCAATCGCTTCCATTCTCCTGCTGGGGACTGTCTCCCATGGGTATAAATCTCAGCCTCTTTCCAAGCAATTGCTCAAGTTTCATTGTCGTACTCCGTGCCTCGCGTTCGTTTGCCTGGCTCATCGAGTCGTAGTGGAAGGAAACACCGTCAATGATTGACACCAGCAGCAGAGACCAATGGGACCCGCCTTCTGCCTGCGTGACATCCACGTTGTCGTTTATGGGTAGGAAGACATGTGTTATGTGGCTGAAATTCGGCAGGGCTTCCTTGAGGGCGAGGGGCTCTGCGGCTTGCATGAGCATGTAGGACATGGAAGGGCGCAGGAGGACGATGGAGGCTTTGGGGTAGTGGATAAGCTCTTCGCGTTCGAGGTATTCCTGCCAAAAGGCAATTGCCTACGCGGGATTTAGTCACAGCGGCTGTTTGGACAGTAGAAGTGTATGCACACATTGTCGGTGAGCCAGTCATTGGTCTTGATACTATCAAGATCCGCTCGTGTCACTACGCCCGTCAGTATTGTTGCTGGCTTGGTCGTTCTATGCACAAGTCAAGGAACAGATGACGCACACACCCCTCACGTCGTAGTCTGTAAATGTTCAGTCAGTCGTCGCTCTCTGTGACATTGTGGTGACCATGACTCACATGAAAGATAGGCCTCGTCTGGGCTGGGATCTCCCAAACGCCGCCTCGCCTTGTCTTTGATTCTTGAGAAGGAGCCGTGCATGTTGGCACGCACTGCCACCGTGGTTTATAGAGGAGGTGTGGTGTGGTGCGGTACGGTGTGGTGCGATTGCGGTGGGTACCTTTTGCAAGGCTGCAGGCGACAGGGACGATATTATAACAACAGGCCAGGCCTCTGGGAAATACGGTAGGTGGAAATGCCAGATGCCTGTCTCGCTGGGGCCAAGGCCGACCAAAAGATGCCGAAACCTTCATGCGGGCAGTATGCAGGGATGACGTATGCGCCTGGCCAGATCCGCTGGGTGGGGCATCCCTGCTTGCCGCGGGAGATTTTTTATTGTAAACTCTGCAATATAAGTAAATATATGTACCCCTTTTTAACCACTAGGACAGTATTTAAGGCGTTTGCGGTGTGAGTTGACATGATAATCATGCTCACACACGATAAGCTGCCTTGGTCCTGTAAATCATATGTAGCCCATTTATCTATTCATGCAGGATATAGTGGAACAAGATGGCTAGAGTTGGGCATACCTACAGACGTGCTTTGTTGTGCATCGATTCTTTATCTACATGTACATTCGTGATTGCCGTTTTCTCCAGGAAAGCTGGCAAGAAATTGCTTTTTTTGAGATGCCGAGCACTGAACTTTTGTACGCCTCATTTAACAAAGCTATATGAGTACTCTTACGGCAGCTGTCCAACAACCTTGGCGCCGTTTGCCTGGTCTTGCTTTCCAAACTGCTCTGGTCTTTCAACCTTGTATAGCCAGTTCTTGTTGTCTTCAATCTTGCCCTGCTGGATTCCCTTGAGGGTTGTGAGAAGCTTCTTGCATACTGGGCCTGGCTCTTGCTGGGCCTCTGCATATGTGAACTTGTCACCCTTGGATTGCATAGTGATAGACTTGATGGGGACTAGAGCTGCGGCAGTTCCGGCAGCTAGAACTTCGTCGAAAGTGCTTATCTCGTCATAGGCAATCTGATATCATCAGCACAGTCCAAAACCTAATGGCTCGTATGCCTTACCTCGCGTGACTCGACTTCCCACCCGAAAGACTCGGCAATTCTCAAAACACTATCTCCAGTGACACTCTGGATAACATTTTTGCTATTGGAGGCGACGAGCTTGACTTTGTCGCCATCCTTCTTCACTCCAATGAAGGCTGATGTGGAGAACTCGTCAACTACGCTCCTGGTCTTGCTGTCCAAGTGGAGAGTGATGCCATAGCCAGCTTTGTATGCTTTCTCGCTATGTCTCAACACTGGAGCGTAGTTTCCGCCGACCTTTGCTGATCCGGTACCTTCTGGAGCAGCACGGTCAAAATCCTCAAGAATGACAGCGTCCACGGGGTTGGATCCATGGTAGACGCCGGTTGGGATACAGTAGACGACAAAAGTGTATTCTTGTGGAGGGTTCAGACCGAGCTGTGCAGAGCTTCCGAAGAGCAATGGTCGGATGTACATGGCTGCACCCGTCTCATGGGGCGGTACATAGGCTGCATTCATGCCTACAGCCAGGCTGCAGCAAGCAAGAAAGTGCTCTGTCGGCACTTCTGGAATCGAAATGAATGAAGCAGAGTGTTGCATACGCTCGGCATTCTTGTTTGGCCTGAAGATGTTGATGGTGTTGTTTGGCGCCCGGAATGCCTTCATTCCCTCGTAGCACTGCATGCCGTAGTTCAGACCAGGTGCCATGCCGTGGATACGGAGGTAAGGGTCTTCGACAAAAACCGGAGGCGTCCATTTTCCAGTCTCGACAGAGTAATGTGATTCGACATGGCCAGCAACTTTACATGCATTAGGTTATGACTCAATAACTGTGTTTTTTGGTATCGGAAACGTGCTGCACAAAACGAAATGGTAGACATGCGGCATCTTTCAAAAGAGGTGTGCCTTCTCTTGTAAGATACAGTGGTGCCATCAAGTATGCACAATCTTGAATAATCCTAAACGGAACATGGTCATACCTTCTCGGATCTTGAAGCCTACGTTGCTCCAATCTAGAACACAGTCAGCAAAAAAAATTCAAATCCGTGTGTCAGGAGACAGTAGCCAACGTACCGATGGTATCAACTGGCGGTGGAGGAAAGTCAGACATGATTGCTATAGACTCAGTGTAGTGTGGGTGCTGGTGATGGGGTATGAATTATATTATGCAAGTTGGAATGGGGCTCGGAAAGTTTTGGTTGCTTCCGGAGGGACAAGATAGTCAGCTAGTCAGAGAGCGATATCGGTGGCCCGCAACCGCCGATATCCTGAATCAGCCGCTACAATATATCAAAAGGTGCTGATGTCCATCCTGGTGTTTCCCTTTGGAGTCATTATTAATTTTGCTTTTCGGCTGTGCTGCGCCGCGCTGCATCTCGCGTCTGTACCTGCAGACTTACCCGCATGGTGGAACCACCCAGGCGTGACGTGCCGGGAGTGTCGTTTCTTGGCGTAATCTGAGGCATCGAGGATGTGATTATCTGTAACTGCACCAATACACTTTTAAACACACCATGGATTAACGCTTCTCGTCTTGAACAACCTCCTCTTCGTATTTTGATAGCTCTAGCATATTTATTCCGTCATGTTTCGCGTGGCCGGTCTCCGCGCGCGGTTCGCAGTCCTGGCGATACTCGTCATGGCCCTCTGTTCATTCTTACTCCTGGGCCCCTACAAAGTAGCTCCAGGCCACCTTACCTTTGCGACACCCGGGAGGGATCTGGGCCATACTAGCCAAAGTCTGCTTACAGGACACGCAATCGCGCCAAAGCTGGGAAACGCGACGGCAAAGTATGTTGGTCATGCCCGGACATGGGAACGTACACGTATTGCAAGAGCTGAGCTGACGCGCAATATCCAGAGCAGAACTTGGTCGCGCGGCCTGGAAAGTCCTTCACACAACCTTCGCCCGGTTCCCCGAGAAGCCTACAGAGGAAGAGAAAGAGGCGCTACGGTCATATGTCCACCTGTTCCAACGCCTGTATCCATGGTATGTCTTAGACAATGCAGGGGATCTGCGGCTGGAGTCACGCGCCAGCTAACTGTCGGTGTAGTGGAGAATGCGCAGAGCACTTTGGACAAGTGCTTGCCAAATATCCTCCCCAGGTGTCGTCCCGGACAGCGGCAGCCATGTGGGGCTGCTACGTACACAACATTGTCAATAAAAGGCTGAAGAAGCCGGAGTTCAACTGCGAAGACATAGGCGACGCATACGATTGTGGTAGGTAGACTTGGCAATGTCTACAGATTACTTGCGGCGTACTAATAGGCTTGACAGGATGCGCAGAAGAATGATTGGGCAATGGCACAGCGGCAGGGACGTCCTGGTGACATAGATCAACAAAGGACAAGGGAGAAGGGAAGACTCGAGCAAGTCATGAGCCCTGCAAGGTGTGCATGGCGAAGGACACTG